TCTCCGGTGAGTTCAGTTAATGACCTGGGTTAGGACGTGGGACTTTTCTTTCCGCGAAGTGGACTTGGACTGGAGCCGCCCGTGGCCTCAGTTTCCCTTGGAGATGATATGTGTCTGCCTAGTAGCGGTGATGAGGTAAAGAAGTGGCATACAGGCGTTGTTTCATGATTACATGCTTGTAAGCATGAGAGCCTTTTGTTTTTTATTTTATTGTTTTTTTTTTTTTGAGACAGAGTCTTGCTTGTTGGCCAGGTAGAGTGGAGGCCGTGGCGTCAGCCTAGCTCACAGCCTCAGACTCCTGGGTTCCAACATGCTCCTGCCTCATGCTCCCGGTAGCTGGACTGCGGCATGCGCACAACGCTCGGCTTTTTTATATATATTGTTGATATTCTTCTTATTATATAGAGACGGGGTCTCGCTCATTCTCAGGCTTGTTCGTCGAACTTCTGCCTTGAGCCGATCTGCCCGCTCGGCCTCCAGGTGCTGGGATGACAGGCGTGAGCCACCCACGCTGCCGAGGCCCTTTAAAGCTGATTCGGGGCCCAGTCCTGGGACCATCTTCACCATCCCCTTGGAGCCAGCCTGCTCCAACTCCACTTCTCTGTCCGGTCCGTTCAGTCCACCAGACAGACTGTCAGACCTGGATTTTCCTTTAAATCCCATTGTTATGGATGAAGAGGACTGATCTAGGATGAAATGACCCCAAGGTCAACACACCCTGTCTGGTGTTTTTGTTTTGTTTTATTTACCAGATCCAGCCGAATTCTCGGAGTGTTTACCCATAAATGTTTTGATGGAGGCAGGGCTCAGAGCCTTGTGACTGGTCCGTTTCAGTCCATTGTGGGCCAGAGCTGGTAGTAGTCAGGGAAGGCTTCTTTTTTTTTTTTTGACAAAGAGTCTCACTCTGTTGCCCAGCTAGGTGAGTGCGTGGCTCAGCCTCGCTGCACAGCAACCTCCAATCCTGGCTCCAAGCGATCCCTGCCTCAGCTCCCAGTTCTGGGACTACATGGCACCACGCCTGGCTAATTTTGTCTATCATATTTTTAGTTGTCTGATTCTTTCTATTTTTAGTAGAGACGGGTCCGCTCATTGCTCAAGGCTGGTGAACTTCTGAGCTTGAGGTCCTCCCACTCGCTGCCCAGACGTGCTGGGATGGACGGCATGAGCCACGCGCCCGGCTAGGGAGCTCTTTGAGAGAGGCAGCTGGGGGGGGTGCAATGAACCCTCAACGCTCCATCTGGGGCAGAAGACAAGAACTCCTGGCTTGAGGACAGCCGTATCCCTGAAGGTCCAAATACTGTGCCTATGGCAGGCACATAGTGTGGCGCCGCCCATAATTCTGTCTTGAGTCCAGGTCTGCTTGTACGGTTATGTTTCAGTTGGGAAGCTGGAGGTCATGGGTGTCCTGCCTGGATGTAATAGGATTCAGTAACGTGGTGATTATTAGGGGGAAGGGGTTTCACCAGGTGTGACCGCTTTTTTCTAGAAGGCACGCAGACGCTGCAGAACACTGGCAGATTCAGGGCACAAGATGGCATACTCTGGCCTCCTTGGCATTTCAGAAAAAGTATTAATGCTAAACATTTGTAATGAGGCAATTTCCCATTTAAAAAAAGAATCTCATTGACTTTTTTGCCTGGGGAAATCAAAAGTCAGGCAGAATCCAGCTTGTCAAGAAACAGCTATATGCTCAGGTGGTTACCTGCTCCCTGTCGGGATTCACACTTCGTGGAGTGTGGATGTGGGCCTTGTGGTGACTCGTTCATGGCCACCGTGCTATGCCCAGTTCCTCAGTCTCTGTGAGCCTCAGTTTGCTCATCTGTAAATAAGGGTGGGCCAGGCAATGTGGCTCAGGCCCGTGTCCCCAGCACTCTGGAGGTCGAAGGCTCGAGGATGTGTTTAGCCACTAGTTTGAGTTACACAGCAACCCACAGTCTGGGTTACACAGCAAGACTTCTTTTCTAAAAAAAAAAAAAAAAAAATTAATTAGCAGAGTGTGGTGACGGCACCTGTAGTCCGCATACTCAGGAAGGCTTGGCAGGAGGAATCGCTTGAGCCAGAGTTGAGGCTGCAGTGAATTATCGACGGCCACCTGACTCCAGCCTGGACAACAGAATAGACCCTGTCTCAAAAAAAAAAAAAAGAGAAAGAAAGAAAGATAACAATTATCAGTGTATAAGCTTGTGTGATGGGTTTCGTCATACAGTAGTCTCAGAGATGGCGAGGGTAGATAAGTGGGGTCTGCAGCCTTTCCTGATCCGGTGTATGAATCCTAACCGATTCCAAATAGGCCTTTCTGTTCGCTTAACATTGGCCCCAGAGGCCCAGTGTATATCGGAGATGCTAGATTTTCCTGAACTTCCCAGGAGGGTCCGCCCCGCACCCACCTGCGCCGCCCCCCCAGCATGGTCTGGGAAGGCTCTGCCCACTAGGATGGCCCTCTGTGCGCCAGGGAAACCGGGAACCCCACAGCCATCTGGGTCGCTGGGGCCCACAGCCTGGCTGTGAGTGCCTGAAATTCTTGGCTTTACTTCGCTAATAAAAGTCCAGAGTCAGAGCTGAGTTTGAAAGGTTCTGTTGGCCTCCCCAAAGCAAGTTCTGCTGATCTCAAAAAAAAAAAAACAGGTGAAGTGATGAGTGACCAAAGTGGGTAATTTGAAGCGTCTCGCGTGCTCGCTCTGCTTGTGGGACCTCAGTGTCAAAGGCAGAGGGCGGGGACGTAGGCGGCAGTCTGGTTCAGGTAAGAGGGTGCGTGCCTTGGGGGAGGGGGATCTACTGCGGCGGGTGCAGTCGGAGATACAACCTTCGAGGTTCCAACACTCAAGTCCTCGCCGGGTGGCACACCTGCCTGAGGTGGCATGGACTCAGCACGCCAACATGCCGCTGCCAGAAGGCCGCAGCTGGGCCACAGACCCCCAGCCCGCGGGCTCCTAGCTTGGCTTCGCGGCCCGCCTCCCCGCAGCGCGGTGGCGCCAAAGACGGCCCCGGGCTGTTTCAGGCAGCGGAGGAGGAGGAAGAGATGGACCCCGGACTCGGCCTCCGAGCGTCTCTTCACCCGCATCCTGAGCATGGTGAACACAGACGACGTCAACGCCATCATCTTGGCGCAGAAGAACATGTAGTTGGAGCCGCGCAGGGCCCGCGTGGGGAGGAATGCGTTAGCCCGGCCAAATTCTCGTCCTGCCGCCCCCTGGCCGGGCCACAACTGGTGATAAAATGAAGGAAATGAGCAAATCTGCCTCTGGCTCCAAAGCAATTCCCCCCGGCCTGGAGGCGAGGCTTGCACAGGAAGCAGGGCTTCCGGAAGGTTCTCGCAGCTGCCGGTGGCTTGGCGGGGGCCTCGGGGGGCTCCTGTCCCAAGGCCTGGCGTGAGAAGAGTTGAGGACCAGGAGGGGCGGCGGTGGTTCTTAGGAGCTGGTGGCTGATTCCTGTCGGGGCCCGGTCTTCCAGAGCCCAGGCCGCGTCCACGCGGTGCCCGGCGTCTCTCGCGGTTGCGAACGCCCTTGCCCTCGCCGGGGCTCGGTGCTGGGGCTCACCGAATCCGGCCCGCCCGTGAAGGGAAGCCGTCCCTCTCTGGAGTGGACGAACCGCCTCCTACTTTCCGACGTTTAAGCCAAAGGCTCTTCCCGACCTCCGTTGACGACAGGCAACAGACTGATGTCTCGATTTTCGCAGGCCTGCACGTCCCGGCCTGAGCAACCCCACCTCTTTCTGGTTCTGTCTTCAGACCCAGACCTAGCCCAGGCTGCTCCACACTGAGGGGAGACTGGTCATCCTAGCACCCTGGGAGGCAGAGGTGGGAGGATTACTCGAGTCAGGAGTTGGAGATGAGAACCAGCTTGAGCAAGAGCAAGCCCCGTCTCTATATATAGAAGAAATTAATTGGCCAACTAATATATAGAGAAAAATTAGCCAGGCATGGCGGCGCATGCCTGTAGTCCGTCTCGGAGGCTGAGGCAGGAGGATCGCTTGGGCCAGGAGTCTGAGGTTGCCGTGAGCGAGGCTGCGCCACGGCACTCACTCTAGCCTGGGCAACAGAGCAGACTCTGTCTCAAAAAAAAAAAAAAGCAGATGCCAGACCCTCCTGGCGCTGTGGTGTCAGGGCTGGGCCAGAGGAACCTCCCGGGACGAGTGGGGCCAAAGGGGGAGCAAAGAGTCTGCTTGGGGAGCGGGTAGAGAAGGCCACATGCAAAGGACACGCTCCAGCAGGGGTGAAAGCTAAATAGGAGTTCGCCAGGTGGCTCAGACCGCAGGCAGGACTCTGCGGCAAGGGAGCGGCCCGTGGGGAGGCCGCGGAGCGGGCAGGGCCCGGGGGGGCCGGGTGGAGGAGCCCCAGCCTCTCGCTCTGCCCCCAGGCTGGACCGCTTCGAGAAGACCAACGAGATGCTGCTGAACTTCAACAGCCTGTCCAGCGCGCGCTTGCAGCACATGAGCGAGCGCTTCCTGCACCACACCAGGACCCTGGTGGAGATGAAGCGGGACCTGGACAGCATCTTCCGCCGCATCAGGTGGGCGCCCGGCCCCTCCCACGCCACGCCACAGCCACAGACCAGGCCGCCTCTGCCGCCTCCCCCCCAGCCTGGTTCCTCCCGCCGGAACTGGGCAAAGGGGAGAGTCTGCTCCTCTGTTTTATTTATTTATTTATTTGAGACAGAGCCTCACTCTGTCACCCGGGCTAGAATGTCATGGCATCAGCCTCGCTCACAGCAACCTCAGACTCTCGGGCTCAAGCGATCCTCCTGCCTCAGCCTCCCTAGTAGCTGGGATACAGGCATGTGCACCACGCCGGCTCATTTTTTCATATATATTTAGTTGGCCATTTAATTCTTTCTATTTCTAGTAGAAGACGGGTCTCGCTCTTGCCAGGCTGGTTTGGAACTCCTGACTCGAGCTTCCTCCGCCTGGCCCAGAGTGCTGGGATGACAGGCATGAGCTGCCGCGCCCGGCCTCCTCCTTTGTTTTATGAGGCTTCGTTGCCCACTTAGGCGTCCAAGAAGATCCCAACCCTAGGATAAAAACACTGGAAGTTTTTGAATTTAAATTTTTTATTTTATTTTTCAAAAAGAGTAATATAGCACCGGACACGTAACAGAAAAGGCAGGAAAGATCACACAGCGGACAGCGATCCTCCAGCCAGGTCTCCTCTCAAGAGGCCAGTGAGGGCCCGGCGCGGCGGCTCACGCCTGTCATCCCAGCACTCTGGGAGGCCGAGGCAGGAGGATTGCTCAACCTCAGGAGTTTGAGACCAGCCTGAGCAAGAGCAAGACCCCGTCTCTACTGAAAATAGAAAGAAATTAATTGGCCAAATAAAAATAAATAGCCGGGCGTGGTGGCGCATGCCTGTAGTCCCAGCTACTCGGGAGGCTGAGGCAGGAGGATGGTTTCAGCCCGGGAGTCTGAGGTTGCTGTGAGTTAGGCTGACGTCACGGCACTCTAGCCTGGGCAACAGAGGGAGACTCTGTCTCAAAAACAAAGAGGCCAACGAGATTTGCCAGTCCTCGCGGGCCCTTCCCACGGTGGTGTCTGTGCAGACAAGGAAAGACGACGTCCAGGCGCCCCCAGAGCTGTTCGCATCCTCACTGCCGCGGGTCACAGCGCAGCCAGTGCACCGGGGCCCGGACCCACTCATTATTCTCGCCAGACCCTGTGCCACCTCCTCTGTGGCAGGGGACAGCTGTATCCTCTGGCAGAGCTGGGGAGCAGGTGCCAAAGGCTGAGGAAAACACCTTTTATTGAGCTGGGAGCAGAAACCACGAGGCAGGCCGCTTAAACCCTTTCTAAATGCATCATAAAAGGCCGGGCGCGGCGGCTCACGCCTGTCATCCCCGCACTCTGGGAGGCCGAGGCGGGCGGATTGCTCGAGTCAGGAGTTTGAAACCAGCCTGAGCAAGAGCGAGACCCCGTCTCTACTATAAATACAAAGAAATTAACTGGCTGACTAATATATATATGTAGAAAAAATGAGAAAGGAGATATTGGCCAACTAATATATATAGAAAAAATTAGCGGGGCATGGTGGCGCATGCCTGTCGTCCCAGCTACTCAGGAGGCTGAGGCAGGAGGATTCCTTGAGCCAGGAGTCTGAGGTTGCTGTGAGTGAGGCTGACGCCATGGCACTCACTCTAGCCTGGGCAACAGAGTGAGACTCTTTCTCAAAAATAAAAAGGGTGTCCAGGTGGAGGGAGAAGGCACAGCCAGTGTCCGGCTCTGGGACAGCTGGGTGGTTGGTGCCCACCCTGAGGTGGGAGGTCTGCTGGGAGGTGGGGGGACTGTCAGAGCCCCGACTGCCGGGCTGAGCACCGGGGTCTCCACGAGGAAGGGGTGATGCAGCACGAAGAACAGTCAGGGAGGCCCCTGCCCGGAGAGGGCGGCGAGGGTCCCTGTCAGCCCCAGGCCCGGCCGTCTGCTCGGCAGGCCCGGCCCCACGAGCCTTCCCTCCCCCGCAGGACGCTGAAGGGCAAGCTGGCGAGGCAGCACCCCGAGGCCTTCAGCCGTAAGTGTCGCCAGGGCCCCTCACCCCACGTCCGGCCTCCGCGCCCCAGGATGTCAGCACCAGAGCTGGCTTCTGCAAGGCCACCTCTCGGGCTGACGTCGAGACCACGCCCTGCAGGGCTGTGCATCCGGGGGGTGGGACTGGGACTGGGGGCCTGGGGGGGCAGGAGGATCCCTTGACGCTAGGAGTTTGAGGCCAGCCTGGGCAACATAGAGCCTGTCTCTTAAAAATAAGAAGTTAGAAAAAAAAGAAAAAAACAAAAAATGTTAAAAACAGGAAGTGCATGCCTGTGTCCCAGGTATTGGGAGGCTGAGGCAGGAGGATTGCTTGAGCCCAGGAGGTTCTGTGAGCCAGGCTCATGCCACGGCACCTCACTCTAGCCTGGGCAAAAGCAGACTCTGTCCTTTAAATAAAAACAAGCTCATAAATGCGCATCTTTGCTGGGCACTTCCCCAGGCCAGCTGCCGGGCCTGGTATGTGGAAGAGGGGGGGCGCCCCAAGGCTGGTTGCCAGCATGTTGTGTGTTCCCACCCTCATGGTGGTGGGCGGACACCTAGCCTGGGGACTTATTTGGAAGGAGACTGCATGGCTGAGGTCAAGTAGAGATGCGTTTGCAAAGACTCTCCGTCTACTGAAGACACCTGTGTCACTTTCTTATGATTTGAAACAGAGTCCACTCTGTCACCCAGCTGGAGTGCTCCAGCGTCACCTCGCTCAAGCAACCTACCGACTCTGGGCTCAGGCGATCCTCCTGCCTCAGCCTCCTCCCAGAGTAGCTGGGACTACAGGCATGCGCCACCATCGCCCGGCTGATTTTTTCTGTATATTTTTTAGTCGGCCAATTCGTTTCTTCTATTTATAGTAGACGGGTCTCGCTCTTGCAGCGGTTTCAAACTCCTGACCTTGACGATCCTCCCGCCTCGGCCTCCCAGAGTGCTGGGATGACAGGCGTGAGCCACCGCGCCCAGCCCTGCATCACTTTAGAAAAAGACAAAAATCAGACTTTTTTTTTTAAGAGCCAAGGTCTCTCTGTGTTGTCCAGGCTAGAGTGCAGTGGCGTGATCATAGCTCACTGTAATCTCGAACTCCTGGGCTCAAGTAAGTGATCCTCCCCCTTCAGCTTCCCAAATCGCTAGGACTACAGGCATGCGTCAGTAAGCCTGGCTAATTTTTAAATTTTTCTTGTAGAGAGAGGGTCTTATTATGTTGCCCAGGCTGATCTTGAACTCCTGGCCTCAAGCATCCTCCCGCCCTGCGCTTCAGTCCTCCAAGTAGCCCTGGATTATGAGGGTGCCACTGTACGCAGACAAAAATCATCCCTCAATTTTTTAAAGAAAAAGAGAAGGAGGCAAGCCAGAAGATGTGGCGGCTCACACCTGTGGCATCCATGCAAAGTTGGAGGCTGTAGCAGGAAGGATGCCTACCTAAGCTGAACAGCAAAAGAGAACTCCATCATGCAATTTGAGAGGCTGTTGTTCTCTCTTAAATGTTCTTGATATATGATTGACTAAGATTGTACCTAGTTACTGGTATACATAATAATTGAGAGTTTAGAGACAGCACACACAAACAACACTACAACCACATACACTATCCAAAAAACAACTTCAGTTTGGTGTGTGTGTGTGTTTTGTTTTGCTCTCTGGACTTAATTTACATGTCACTGGAATGGCTTCAGAGCCTACAATTATTTTAATCTCCTTTCAGGTTGTTTGTTATCTCGTTCTGAAGGAGTATACTCGGCTTAGATTTAGTTTTACAAGACAAACATGGTTTAGGAAATCACTGATATGCCTTTCAATAATGGCAGTATCACCTGGAAACAAGTTTAATTTTAAAGTAACTTCTCCTTTAGGTGATAATAGTTGCTTGACAGAATAATTCTGGTTAACTATATCTATTTTTAATTCAATTATAACTTTTTTTTTTAAGAGACAGGTACTCAACTATCTTGCCACGTCAGACTAGGATCCAGGCTCAAGTGACTCCTGCTCAGCCTCTCAAGTAGCATACTACAGGTGTGCGCCGAACCCCACGCTCAATTTAAATTCTCGATTCTTGAGTAAAGCAACTTGAATATTCCATTGGGGGTGGTAGTAAAGGAAAAGTAAGTGAATGTTTATAGCTTTCAAGGTTCCCATTAAAACACATAACAATATTTCTCAACTACAGAAAATTCATTTGTGGACAAAATTTTCAGCAATGGCCTATACCTGGAACCAATGTCCAGCCATTCAATTAGAAAAGGTTATTATTATTCAGGAACCAACCAATAACACTGTCCCAACCTTTTACCTTCCCTTTCCAAGTTCTTCCAAGGAATTTGAAATTGATGTTGATCCAGAAGAACAGAAAAAAACCCTCCGTTTGCAAGTGGAAAGAAAAACACAGCAGGTGTCCAGTGCTAAGCTGGAAAAGCTTTGGCCAGCAGCCGGATGGCCTGAATTCCAGTCTGGCCGAGGGTACAAGCGAGTCCCATGAACAGCCTGTATGTATAGTAGTCCACTTGACAAGAAAATGCTTGTGAAAGACAAGAAAGGCTTGGCCAAGAAATACCCACTGGATTAAAAATCAGCCCATGACTTCAAAATGCTCATGGCAAAAGGACAGCAACAGAGAACATATGAATATACATCATCATTGTGGGGACGGTACATATATCAAGGAAACCTATTTAAGATCTCAGTAATCAAAACTGCCCCATCCCTAACTCCTTCCAGTGGATCATCATTTAGAGTTTATTTCCAATGCATCTGGGCTTTTTACTGTTTCCTTTATTGCTGGTTCCAAAGTTCACTGAGTACATTAGGTAAACTGAATTAACAACTTCGCCTTGATATTCTCAGCGAAAAATGAAGTATAATTTAAATAATCTCTAAGCCTTTTAATACATTATAAAATTAAACTTCTTGACTTTCCCTACAACCAGCAAATTTCCCACTACCCTTCTCACTCTTCATAACTCTAATAATAATTGTGCTACAATTTAAATATCAACCTGATTTAAAATACAGTAAGGATCCACAAACACATTAAAATAAAATTGAAACCATATTGCTTTTTTGAATTACTGAATTACCACATCAACATTTTCTGCCAGAAAGTACTACTTCATAAGTAATGTTGAAATATTCCTCCTCAATTTGGAATAAAAGCTATCTGGTTTTAACTAGTAAAAAAATCAGTGGTTAATCAATTTTAACCACCTTTATATCATATTTTGTTGTAAAACAATCTAACAGTGTGTTGTTAAAATTCTCAACATTTGATATTCAATTGTTTTGTCATTTGGACTACACTGAATGAAAGAGAGTAAATGCTTAACACCTTAGATCCACTGCACCTATTTTGGTGTCTGTTGCTTTCAACCAGACCTGCTTATGTTTGGAGCTATGTAAATCAAAGTCTCCAGTCACTCTTTTGGGTGGCCAGTCAGCACAACATACCTCAAAAGTTCCTTTAAAACACAGTTACAATATAAGAATTAGGCAGGTTAAATGCTGACCGTGGCTGATGAAGAAAACAATTTTGAATTCTACTTACAGCTCTACTTTGTAAGTCACTGAAGGGGAAAAATCAGGTAACATCTGTTTGTCCCAGTTTGGTCATAAGTCCACTGAAAAAATTTTTTTTTTTTTTTGGCATTAAAGCATGGCAAATTTAAAAAAAAAGGTGGTGATCCAACATTAGCACTTGGGTGTCCTTTTTAGGAAAGGAACCTTAAATGCATACATATTTGTATCATCACTTACTCCAAAGCTGTAATTTTCTAAGCAAAACCTGGTAGCAACCAGCTTGAAAGATGAAATTTAACACCAAAATTAAAACACCATTTAGAACAGAATCATTTAAGTCTTTGAAGATAAAATTGAATCGAAAAAAAAAAAAAAAAAAAAAAAAAAAAAAAAAAAAAAAAAAAAAAAAAAAAAAAAAAAAAAAAAAAAAACTATAACCCAAATATTTTGATCTCTTCAGAGAGCATTTTCTAACGGGGAGGGAGGGATTATAAATTATTCATGGTGATCCAATGAAGAAATTTCTGAAAACACCATGCCGAATAGTCCAAGGGTGCAGAATAGCAGAAGAATCTCAATTACACATTTGTGGACCCATCCAAGGCCTCTTGCTCCCTCCACTTTCTCTTTAAAGAGAATTCAGTCAATTGATTCCAGCCCAATCAACTGAGAAAAGCAGAAACTTTTTCCTTCTCACAGCAAGCACTAAATATCAGAGCTGGTGAGAGGAGAGGGAGATAAGTCACCTATGTGCTTCACCAGTCTGAATCCAGGGAGTACCAAGTACTGGCAACTGGGCACCCAAGTAGAATTAATTAATCTGAATCACTGAGCCACTCAAGTAAGATAGACAAACTCCATCCAATCACTTTTTCCTGAAACAGCTTCTTTAGGTTCCCTCAGGCTGATTTATGCACAAATCACTATAAGTTCAATTGTTATTCCATTCCATGAGCAGCGCTTTGCAGCAGCAAATTACAAGGAGGGAAGAAAGGGTTTGCAAAAAGCAGAAAAGAAAATTATAAGTATGCTCATAATAGGAGGAACAGGGAAAAAAGGGAAGGAAAACATTAAAAAGCATATCTAATTTATTTATTATAGAGCAGACTATCTTATCTCAATAGCTCCCAAAGAAGACATCATTACACTGCGGAACAAGAATTGCCTTAAATAATGATGACTTGATAATTACACAAAAGGTCAGCTATCTTCAGAATACTCTAAAGAGAAATGATATTTAACATTATTTCACAAAAATTTAAGAAACATTTTTTTGACATAGGGTGCTAAAAAGGAGACTCTTAGGTATGCCAAGAAAACTTGATAAATTACTAAAGTAATTTTAAAGCCGAAATGAACTGCCCATGAATCAATTATGAAGAGATTGAGATACTATACAAGAAATAGTTGTCCAGTATTGCCTCAGAGGATAGTATACACTCAGAACAGTACCACACGTGCCAAAAAAAAATTGCTCTTTTTACAAATATCCACTCTCTCTACCTTACAAGACTGCATGCATTCAAAACGTGATTTAGCAGTGTGAAAAATCTCTATCAGTCATAGTACCAAAAAAAAAAAAAAAGGCTAAACTGACATGAATGTGGATCAAACCCACTTCCACTAAACCACCCACAAACTTATTTTCCAGGACACAATAAATATTTTCAATTCTAAAATTAGAAAACTTTCAACAAACAGATCCTGACCCCTTCTCAAAGCAAGATATTTCAGATCACGCTCGATGACTTAAGCTTTCTGCATTTTCATATCACATTGGCAGGGCTGAATGGCTCGCTTCACCTGATATTATTCCTTTTAATAAAAATAATTAACCTATTTCCCATAAAGAAATAGCTAAGAATACAATTATAATCTGCTTCACAGAATAGACTAGCTATTGAAGAAAACTATAAATGAAAAGAATTCTGCTATGTCATATTTCATTTCACTAATAATCTATGTAAACAAGTATTTTTCCTTTCTTATATTACATTTTTTCCTTTATTTTAATATAATAACTTTGATCCATGGAAAAATTCATACCTGTTAATGGAGTAATATAAGCCATAATGATGTAATGTTCCATATACCACTGCATTTGTGGGGGAAAATGTAATGGAACATAAAGAACAATCACTGATACAAGGAGCTAGATTTAAAACCTGCACTACTTAGGCACCTGAACCCTATTCAAACCCCCTTGCCCCTAAAGTGTCTCTTATCCACACATCGAAATCTTCTCTGTATTATTTTAGTTGGAAAATATATTCCCAGTTATTCAATGATTCTTCCTGGCTGCCTTACTAGTTGAGCTGCCATAACCAATTATCATAGCTGGTAAGATTACGAAATTTATTTTTCTCATAGTTCATGGAGGCTAGAATCCAAGGATCCAAGGTGCTGGCAGGGTTGGCTTCCTCTGTGGCTTTCTCTGATCAGTTTGCAGAGCCGCCCTTTGCTGTTCTCAATGGTCCTCCTCCGTTACATGCACCCTTGGTGTCCTCTCTTGTGAGTCCAATTTTCCTCTTCTTAAAAGGACACCAGTCAGATTGGATTAAGGCCTCACCCTAAGGCTCGTTTTAACTTTATCGCCTGTTTAAAAGCTCTCTGCCTGCAATATATCACCATTCTGAGGTACTGAGTTAGAACCTGTAGTGTTAGGGGGTCGGGGAGGACACATTCAGTCCATAGATACTGCCCAGGTGGAAATTTAAGCAAACATCCCAGTAAACCTCCATGCTGAGAGTTTTGGAATTCTTCATAGCAATTTAAAGGAATCTCCTCCACTAGAAGGCTAACACCCATTTGGCGCAGAGGGAAGCCTCCAAATAGAATACTTCTAGAATAAGAAAAACCAGAAGCTTTATCTTCCTTCTTGGAGGGCTTCACTTTAAATGCTCCCAGCCCCTCTCTTCGTAGGGGCCTTAAACATTTGTCCCCCTTTAGAAGAAAATTTATGGCCAAATCTCCACAGAGCCTTGTTTTTTCTATTTTCTAGTGAAAAGGAAACCCATTAAATGTTCTTGGAACCATCAGAATGGCCAGGGTAATCCCATTTCCCAGATAGAAAGAAAAACCCAGTGATTTTTTACATACTCATCCAGTTGGGTTAGAACAGTGAAAAATCAGGCATTGTTCCCGCTCCAAAAACCAGAACAATATATTTATTTAAGTTAAGTGATTTTACATTCCAGGTATAATCTTCTGCAAAGGAGATAAAATTCATGACAATATATCATTAACGTGGAAAAACATAAAGTTTCAAACGGTAAACTTTAATGATTCTGTTTACTGTAAAAAGAATATACAATATATAAAAAAAATGTGAAAGGAGGGAAGAAAATACTTTTTAAAGAATAACAGCTTATTCTGGAATGGGTATCATAGATGTAATGCTTTTTCTTTACACTTTGAATTATTGTCCAAATTTTTCAACCATGAAAATGTTAAATTTATTTTCTGCTATAATAGCACCAGAAAGGAAAATACAGGCTTGTTGTTAATGAAACACCCATGGTTTAGACCAGAACCCAGAGGACACAGTCCAATCTTGAAAAACAGAAAGCAAGCTTTAATCACCCAATGTAAGCCCTTCCATGACAACCAGTCTGGGAAAAAAATCAAATGGACATTTATTAATGTTCACTGGGCAAAACAAAGACATCCAGCCATATCAACAGCTCAAAGAACCAACCAATATCCACAGAAATCCAATTGTAAATCCTTCTGAACCCACTCTATATATTTGCCCCTGATTACTTTTAGTTCCAGATTTTACAGACATTTTATCCAAACACCCAAGGAAACAAACCTTGCCTAAAAACCATGAAAAATTTCCCTCGTTGCCAAATTTGTTGAAGAAGAAAAAAAAAGGTGACTCCCACCCCGTCCCAATTTATAATTACTCCATGTTTTCCAATCACAACTGTTTCCACCTCAGGAGGAGGAATGTCAACTTCCGGACAATTAGCTTTGTTGTACTAGAATTATTTTTTCCATTGTCCAACCTCCTAAGACCTCAGTGGCCGAGGGCAGCCTGTTTTGGTAGGCAGCAGGCCCCCCTCTTATCCCTGGGTTCCCTAAGGAATCATTTCCTAAAGAGATTTAATAACAGAGCCAACAGAAGTGGCTTTTGGAAAGGCCTGCCGCTGCTCTTTTTAAAGGCAGTCAGCATAAGTGCAAAGGGTTTCCACTGGGAAGTATAGTGTGGCTTTTCCAATATTTTTTTGGGCAATATTTTAAGAATCACCCTGCTCCAAAGGCAAATGCAAACACAACTGACAGGGGCAGGCCTGGTCCTCGCCCAGCATGCCTCGGGGCAGACGTGAGGACTGGGGTCTGGTGCCCGGGGGGAGGTGGCACGGGGGCACGTGGACAAGAATGATGACAAACCTCGCCCCAGTGCGTGCCACATGCCCCCATGAGCCGGGCCGTTAACAGGCACCTGTAACGTGGGGGCTGTGAGTGTCCCTGTGTCACAGAGGGGGAAACTGAGGCCCACAGGGGAAACGCCTGTGTCGGAGGACGCACAGCCAGAGCGGGCAGGGTGAGTTCTCAGGTGTCTGGCTGGAGGGCTTGAGTGCGCTCTGCACTGTCACTCCACGTTGCCACCGCCTCCAAGAAGGGTTCCCTACACTCAGCCTCAGTGTGCTGCGCCTGTGGGATGGGCCAGCAGCTGACAACCACAGCAGGGAGCTGAGCAGGGAGCTGAGGCCCGGGCGGCACCGTGGTGGGGAGAGGTGACGGGGTCAGGCTCACTGCCAGAGCCCACGTTGGCCCGACCCCAGAGCCTGTGTCCTCGCCTCACCTTGAAGGGAGGCCCGTCACCCCCCTACGCCTCCGTTTCCTCCTCTGTAAAATGGGCCGGGTCGCGGTGGCCCCGTGAGGCTGGGGGAGCTGTCCCGGGTCACCGTCACGGCGAGTCCCCTATCACGGTGCCCGGCAAGGTGACCGAGCCCGCTCCTGTTTCTCCCACGCCCAGATGTCCCAGAGGCGTCCCTCCTGGAGGACGAGGACGAAGACCCCATCCCCCCCAGCACCACGACCACCATCGCCACCTCGGAGCAGAGCACGGGCTCCTGTGACACCAGCCCGGACACCGTCTCGCCCTCCCTCAGCCCCGGCTTCGAGGACCTGTCCCACGTCCGGCCCAGCTCCCCTGCCGTCAACGGCCGCAGCCAGACAGACGACGAGGACGTGCCGGGCGAGTAGCCCTGCCTCCCAGCGCCGCCCAGGCCCCTCGGAGCAGTGGTGACCTTCCCCAGCCGTCTGAGGTGGCCTCACGATCATCAGCTCTGCCACCCTGTTCTGTCGGCTCGGGCTCCTGGCGGGGGACAGGGCTCCCTTCCAAGGAGTGTGGAATCCGGGGAGGGGGGGGTCTTTAATTCCAGCCCCCTCCTCCCTCAGAATGTCTGTCTGCTGCAGCCCCCTCTGTCCCGCCCGGGCACGGCCACCCACGCAGAGTACAAGGGAGCTTTTCCTAGAGCCAGGCCTGAGGTCTGCCCTTGATACCCACATCCCCCGAGGCCAGAGCCCGACGTCTCCCGCCTCCCGGTCAGGACCTCCTTGGGGTGAACAAGCACCGTGGTCACGTCCGAGCTCACCCCAGCCCACTCCTGCACCCACTAATTCTGGCTTCCTGGACCCTTCCGTCAACAGAAGTATGGAATACTTTCTCCAGTTGGTGTCTCGAGGAGGTTTCTGAGACAGGTAGAAGGCTCGAGCCGGAGGCCGACCGTCCATCCAGCCCTGGGCCTCGCGAGGCCTGTGTGGGTAAGAGCAGAGGTGCGGAACCTCAGGGCCCGGCAGGCCTCTCCCGGGGCCTCCACGGAGCAAGCCGAGCCACCTTGGGAAAGAGTTTAGCGGAATATTTTTGTACCCGATGTTTACGGATGCTGTTGTGGGAAGTTATCAATAAAAAGACTCTGTTACTGAAAAGAGAAGAGGACACCCAGCTGTGGCTTCCTTTCACCCTGGGCTAAGCAGCCCACAAGGCCGACGAATGGAGTCCACTTGCTCAAGGCTCCTTGGGCGTGGCTCTGGGTAAAAACAGAAAACAAAACAAATGCTGGACAAGGTTCTTAGGGTTCTGAGCGAGGGGGATGCAGACAGCCAGGCACCACTGGGACAGAAATGTGGCTGCTCTTGGTGGGAGTCCCAAGATTATATTATGCCCCAATTAATTCTTTTTTGTGTTTGTTTTTGAGACAGAGTCTCACTTTGTTTGCCAGGCTAGAGTGAGTGCCATGGCACAGCCTAGCTCACAGCAACCTCAGACTCCTGGGTCAAGCGATCCTCCTGCCTCAGCCTCCAAGTAGCTGGGACTACAGGCATGCGCCACCATGCCGGCTAATTTTTTTCTATATATATTAGTTGGCCAATTAATTTCTTTCTATTTATAGTAGAGACGGGGTCTCGCTCTTGCTCAGGTTGAACTCCTGAGCTCAAACAATCCACCCGCCTCGGCCTCCCAGAGTGCTGGGCAGAGATCTTTCTAATAATACTGGACTCTGGGTGTTAGGTGGCTCTCGGGGTCCCCTACCTTCCCTGCCCCAACCCCTGCTCCCGGACCCGCAGGCTCTCTGCTGAATGCCTTTGCTTTAGCAGAAAACAGCCTGCTCTATTCTGGTCAAGTATTCCCAGAACGGCCCGCTAAGTGCCAGCGGTTGTTAGTGACGCAGACACAGTGGCACCCTCCCCCGGAACACCTGGAGAGGTGTGGCTGCCTCCTCACGTGACCCGGCGGGCGGCACCGACACCCGGAAGCGGGTGGGCGGTGCTCGCCAACACCCGCAGCGGCCTCCTCTGCCAGCACCCAAGATGGCGGCGGGCCGGGGGCGGGGCGCGGCGCGGATTGTGACGTAGGCGTGCTCCGCGCGCATGCGCTCTCGGCGGCGAATCGGCGGTTTCCGGTTCCGCTGCCCTCTTTCTCTTCAACGAGGCGAGGGAGCTGGTCGGTGGCCGCGGCCGTGCGGGTCGGCGCGGGGCCGGGGGCGGGCGGGCTGCAGGGGGCTGCAGGGGTCTGGGCGCGGCGGGCGGGCCCGAGCCTGCCGGTGTGGGTAGTCTCGGCGGGCGGCGGCGCGGGGCACGTGAGGCCGAGGCTCCGAGCCCAGACCCGGGCCCAGGAGGTGAACGCGGCCTTGGAAGGGGGCCTGCCCCTCTCCGCCCGGCCCCAGCGACCTCACGGGGCTTCGGGGCGGGAGTGGGTCCCCCTGGGCCGATCCGAGTTAATCGGAGGGGGGGATGTGAAGCATGCAGCGTTAGCTTTGGCCTAGTCGCTGCGCCGAGGTGTTCAGGAGTGTCAAGTTTCTCGAACTGGGTTTTGGTGCCTGCCTGTGTTTTCTGTGCCTGTCTTCTAGAGCTCTTCTTGGTTTGTTTTTAAGTGAGCGTTTTATGTAAACAGGTACGCGGCACGTAGTTGCTAGATAACAGAGTGGTAGGCATTATTGTTTGCGGGTTGGAGCACATGCACGAAGCGGGGTCTGGAGAGTTTGGCATAACTGAGAAGGGAGCTAAGGGTGTTGGTTGTCCTAGCTGGGAGTTAGGAGAGGGGCTTTGAGAGCAAAGAGAATGTGTTTGTGTGTTGGCGGGCCGGTGGCTATTGAGCCAGGATTGCCATCCAGGCTGGCAGGAAGGGCAGTCTGTGTAGTAGTAGACCAGGAGGTTGCTAGGGCAGGGGAGGATGGCACCGTCCTCAGGGAAGATGTACCTGTCAGATGGTGCCCGAAGGTCGTTTTAACATTCCAGTAGCAAACATAAGTGAGTCTCTCCTCTGCTGAGCCTGAGGGACATAATCAGAGTCCTTGTTTCTCCGTGAACACGTGTGCAGCAGTCCAGGATGGAGAAAATGTATTAATAGTCCTTAGTTGTAGGGCATGTTTAGGCTGCAGGCCAGGGTGTGTGGGAAGGCAGGCGTTGGGGCTCATGACTGGGGTGAGTGCAGGCATAGAGCTTCCATTCGGGGGCTAGGCCTGGCCAGCACCTGAGCTCGTGCCTCCCAGGCGTGCAACACTGACCACTCCATCCCATCCTCCCTTCCCCCCAGCAGACGCAGAGATGCAGATCTTTGTGAAGACCCTGACGGGGAAGACCATCACCCTTGAGGTCGAACCCAGTGACACCATCGAGAATGTCAAAGCCAAAATCCAAGACAAGGAGGGTGAGTTGGGCAGGGTCTGGGGTTCAGTGAGGGCCCGGCAGCCTTCCCGGGGCCTCACGGAGCAAGCCGAGCCACCTTGGGAAAGAGTTTAGCGGATATTTTTGGTACCCGATGTTTACGGATGCTGTTTGGGAAGTTATCAATAAAAAGACTCTGTTACTAAAAAGAGAAGAGGACCCAGCTGTGGCCTTCACACCTGGGCTAAGCAGCCCACAAGGCCGACGAATGGAGTCTCACTTGCTCAAGGCTCCTTGGGCGTGGCTCTGGGTAAAACAGAAAACAGACAAATGCTGGACAAGGTTCTTAGGGTTCTGGGCGAGGGGGATGCAGACAGCCAGGCAACACTGGGACAGGAATGTGGCTGCTCTTGGTGGAGCCCAGGT